GCTGGGGGATTGAACTGCGGTCCCTGTGCTTTGCTAAGCTTGTTCTAAGTAGGTGCTTTAGACCACTGAGCCATCTCACCAGCCCCTGCGTTTAGCTTTCCTGATTTCAGATTTGCCATTTGATTGACCAGAAAGACATAAAAGAAAAAAAAAAAAAAGTATGCAGTGCCATTAAAAAATTGGGAACGGGGCCATGAATATACCTAATGACCCTGAGGAGTTTATGTAGAGTATAGAGAAATGAACTCTGGACTTAGGAAAGTGCCTGTTGGATGGAATTTCAAATATTCAAAGGCCAGGTCAACCTGTAAAGTGAGTGGTAGGGGCCCTGAGCTGGAGGGAAGGACAGATTATGTGCTTGGCTACCATTGCTGGAGGATTCTCACTGATGGTATTGGCATCCCAAGAAAGCTGCCTGACACTTCCATAGGGTTTATTTAATAAGACTGGTGGCTGAAACAAAACAGTAGCCTTTCCACAAACTGCTTGCTTGCTTGTTTTCTCCCTCCCTCCCTTCCTCCTCCTCCTCCTCCTCCTTCTCTTCCTTCTCCTCCTTCTCCTTCTTCCTTTGTATTTTAGTACAGGGTCTACAGGTCTCACTACACAGATCAGACTTGTAGTGACCCTCCTGTTTTTTTTTCAGCCTCCCAAGAACTGGGATTACAGAAGCAGATTTCTAATAGAGACAGTTGTATCAGCTGAAGGAAGAAGACAGAAAAGCTGACCTGGGCTGCTTCAGGAAGAGAGGGAGAGAAGGTCCCTGGGGGAACAAGCTACACAAATGCATCTGCTTGTAGCTTGTCCTTTCTCCTCATAGAAAAACAATATAGCTGTACACATTAAAAACACACTCACAACATAATTTCACTGGTTATATGGATGCTGGGCTAGACTCATGTGTAATAAAGTTAGTTATTATTACGTTAAACAGCTGAAGAATTCCTTCTTAGTGTACACTTCTGTGAGACTTTTCATTCTCATGACCCATGGAACTGATTTTATTAGAATTCAAACTTTGAAATCTTTGAGATAATGTGAATTTGCAAGAAAAAAAAGGACTGGTAACTTGTTTTTGCTTTCTTTTTTAAGCCTCCCATTTCTACAAAATCATTGTTTTCTTTTTTTCCTCCAGGAATTGTGAGGGGCAGAATATTCGATACAAGACATGCAGCCATCACGTAAGTCCTAGAATAACATGATATAAGCCAATAAAGTCATGTTTTAAGTACAACACTATAATAGAAGTACTACAAAACAGCTTTTTGTGACACTTAACCACTTGTTTAATTGACAACCGCTTTTGTGTGTCTAGTGCCTTTCATTTATTCTAGCTTTTTCACCATTTAATAATTTCTGAATCCTAGAAACCATGCATAATACCACAGACTCCTGCAGACTTCCCAGTGCTCTTTGGTTCAGTATCTCCTGTGAAATCCACAAGGTCTCTCAGGTGCAGGCAGGCAGATGTGCTTGTTTCTCTTCTGCAAAACATGAAACTGGGGCAGAGGAGGGCAAAGAGTACTTTGCAGTTATACCAGAAGAATAGAAAGCATATGGGCTTGAGCAGTCTAGTGCTGCTTCAGCCACCACAATCCACCTGTCTTGTCCACTGCAGAACATGTCCCGGGGACTCATCAGAAGATCAGGCAGCATGAAGGAGTTATACAAACCTCACTCTTATTTCCCATCAGCTACCACTAAAATAAATGAAAACATTTTTCTTTGCACATGTAATACTAAATAAACACCAGGATTCAATCTTCTTTTCCACTCAAAGCATTTCCCATGTTCCTGCTGCTGATGCATATCCAAATTGAAATGATAGGAATTAAAAGGAAACTGAGACACTGGAGAATTCATCTGATGGGATTTAGTTGCTCCCTTGGATGGGAGTTTTTAAAGGTCTCCAGCTCTGTTGGACAACAAAATGATGCTGCAGACAGCAGTAACTAAAGCCTGGTAGCTTTGAATAACACGTGAGTGCTGATGTAACTGGAGGGACAGTATACTCTAAGAGACCATCATGGATACTCCAAGCCCTGGAACAGTAGGCTAGAACTCAATATCCATAGTTAGTAAGGGACATAGATCAGGGAAGTACAGGGAATGTCCTCTTCCTGTGCCCTGTGCCTCCTGCCACAGCCCCCGGCAGTTCCTCTGCCTAGGACAGATGTCACAGCTGCAGTTCAGAATCCCAATACTACAGCAGAGGATGCTACCTAGAACGGACTCCAGAGATGAATGGGAAAGTTGGCTGAGCTATTGTGTGAAGAGTGGACGCAGAGTGCATAGACGCAGAGTGCATAGATGAAGACGTCCCTGCTGTGCAGGGGGTGGTATTTCAAGAGGCAGGAGTGGGAGTCTCGACCACATCACTGTCTCCAAGGAATCTGGCTGTGGTTCAGTGGCTCTCTCCGGTCCATTCTGCTGGGGCAGAGATGGAGCTTCCAGCTTGGAGCTAAAAGATGAGGAGCAGGCATGCCTGTGTACAGGTATCTAGCTCCCACAAGCCCGCTGTCCCCAGACCGAAGCATCAGTCAGCACTCACCATAGATCCTTAGAGTTGGGGCCTGGGCCCGTGGCCACAGAGAAGAATGACCCTTGTCACAAGGCTAACGGAGCAGTGGCAGTCTCCAAGAGCAGTTGTGCCAGTGCAGGATTTCTCATGCAACATTTTTAGGATTAATGGTAATCCTAGTAGAGGCAAAGGGGAAAAAAGTACTTTTGATTAAGCATTATGTCACAATTTGGTAAGAATGTGTCTGTGATACGTGCATATTTATTATGAGCACAGTTAGCCCTGCACAGTGGGCTATCTGGGTTCCCTATGGCTTTCTAGAAGAGG